CTCCTCCTCTCCCCCCACCTTTCTCGTGGTACTGGGGATCAAACTCAGGACCTCAGGACCTTGCGCTTGCGAAGCAGACACAGCACCACTGAGCTAAATTCTCCTTCCCACCTACATCCTCTTTTTAACATCTGTTAAAATATGATTTTCAAATTTTGGCGCCTTTGTACCCTACTTTTTGTTGAATGAAAATACGCTTCATATTGCTGCTCTGGGTTCCCTGAGCGCAACAAAATAGATGATATAGTAGGGAGAGGCAAATAATGTCTCACCCAGGATAGTTATCCTGTTCCTTAGGGTAATTGAGAATTAACTGTCTCTGGCACAAGTAGGCTTTTTGTTTACTTTGGGGGGACAGGGATGTAGCTCAGTGGTGCCACCCCCTGCCTCACAGTCACAAGGTCCTGAGTTTGATCTCGCGTATCAAAGAAAAAAAATAAGTGTGGGAAGAATTGGAATGTTTATGGACTAGTACATAACTTGGAGTCTAGTGTACAGTTGTAATCATGATTTCAAGTTGGTGTGGGGTCTTTCCTCACCAACTATGAGTGTCTAAAAGAGTAGCCAGTGTCCCCTGCTAGGTAGGAGGACATTTTACCTCCCAGGTGTGTCTTGAGGTGACATAAGCTTTAGATGTGCTTGTTGTGCATCTGACACCCTTCAGCATCCTGGCCTTTTGTTTCCAGTTCAGATTTTTGGCTTCCTTCTCACCATCCCTTTTGCATCAAATGCAGGTCAGGTTATATGATGTGAAAACAGTGTGACCAGTATAAACATAGGTGTAGCATTGTAGCCTGCGGGTGATAAACCCATCCAGCCAAATCATGAGTGGTGACCAGTTCTAACACTTAGCATTTTGTGTAGTGTGCCAAACACTTTTACATTCACTTGCTTCTAGTGGCAATAGAATGAAGTAGATCAGATGGGCTGTGTATGAGGAGATAAATCAGAAAAGCTTACTTGCCTGATGTTATTTTTCAGGATTTATTTCAGATATATAATGTATGAGATTTTAAAACTTTTTATAGTGCTGTAGTAGGAACTTGCACTTTAAGCAAAGAAGGATTTAGACTTGAATGAAAGGATTTTGGGGGGCTAGTTCCAGATAAGGTTATCTGCAACATTGTATGTTCACAGTCTTGCTGATATACCGAGTTAGGTTGGTGGGGTACCTGGAAATTTTTAAATTTTAGGCTACTTACAAATTTGGATTTTAGGAGACAAAAGTAAGAGTTAGATAAAGGCCAGAATCTCTTGAGTAGGTAGATAAAAAAACATGGTTTGCTGACCATGGTGTCAGGCTCAGCACTGTGTAGTGCAGTAGCCTAGAAAGGCTTACTAGATGAAAAAGTATTTGGTACTACTTTAAATGCTTTGAAAATATTTTGTCTAATGGTGACTTTAATGGAACAGTATGAAAACTAAAATATTCCACAGTTCACTTTTTAAGTCAACCTGCTTGCAGCATAAACTAGCCTAATATTTTCTAATGTGAAACTATCTGCTACCTTTATTTCCTTGTTTAGGGCGAACTTTCTGACCAAGTGTACAACTACCCAGAAGGCCTAGGAGAGGTGCTGTATAGGGAGCAGTTCGACTTCAACGCCGAGCCCCCTTGGGAACCTAGCTGATGATAGGGGGTTCCATCTCCTAACTTGTCCATGTGAGTATTTCCGCGTCTGTGGGGCCTTAATGCAGTGAAATTGAGGGCAGTGAGAGTGCTCAGTTGCTTAGTATTTTTCAGAATTCAAAATTACATTCACCTTTTTTAAGTGTAGTGACCTTGAAGTTGTTTTAAAGCTCTGGCAGATTTGACAGTTACAGGTTATGGTCACGGCTGAATTAGTTGAATGCGTTTTCACCAATCATTGGATTGCTTAAAATTTATCTTAAGTACATTACAAATATTACTATACTTAGTATATTTTACAGGAGAAGTTTTAGGAAATTGTACTATTTCAGGTTTGTTTTTAGTTTTTTGAGACAGGTTCTCACTATTAGTTCAGGCTGGCCAAGAACTTTGCAGTGTAGCCCAGGCTGGCCTTGAACTTGTGGCAGTCCTCCTGCCTCGGCCTCCCTGGCAGACATCAGCAATAGTTCTTGTTTTAATGTAAGTTGGAGAGTAGTTTTTGGAAGATATTTGTCACATCATTCTGCCATTTGGTTTAGTGGATGCAAATATTTGAACTGAATTGGAAAAGTCATTCTTTCTTACTGGTGTTGGAAGTGGAAGGGAGAACTTGCACAAGCAAAACATGGGGTCCTACTGAGCTGCGTCCTTACCCCTGCAGGGTTCTGTTGTCCGCCACGCTGCCTCCTGGGAGCTTTGGACTGCTTAATGTTTTGTGTATGGATTGACTTTAGAATTGAGGCCTGTGTGAAATAAAATTCCTTAATGAGCATTTGTTTAAATTTCAACTACTGGTTTGTGTGGTTGTGTGTTGTGTATAGATTTCTTGCTATCAATATGTGGGTTTTGGTGTTAAATCTGGCTTTTTTTGATTGTCCAAAAACTTGAATAGCCATTAGACTTTTTAGAAAAGCTAAGAGTATCAATTTAGTATTTTAGTCTGATCTTATGAAATAGCTTGTGTCAAATAAAATATTGTGTTGTAGCTTAGTGTGGTAACACGTGCCTACTGTGATCCCAGCGCTTGGGAAGCTGTGGCAGGAGGAATGCCATGAGTTCAAGGCCAGCCTGGACTACAAATCCAGACCTAGTCTCAAAAACAAAACAAGAAAGTGTTCTTTTATTAGACTACATTTTAAATCCATTAGTTGTTGGGCTGGGGATTTAGCTCAGTGGTTCCAGAGGCTGCCTCACAAGTGCAACGGCCCGATTTTGATCCCTGGTATCAAAAACAACCCCAAAACATACATACATTCATACATTGGTTGTTAACTCATGTTTTTAAAGCTAAAAACAAGAAAAAGCAGTTTAGAGAATGTTTTCTTGAAAGTCCTATGAAGCCTTTCCAATCTGGCATTCCTCCTGTGTAGGTTTGAGCAAATTGTTTATCTGAATGCCATCTCTGAATGAAGTTGCGATGCGACAGTTGTCTTAGTCCTGAGCAGGCACAGTGGTCTCTGTTGAGTGCCTTCAGAGCTCTTAGATGGTGAGGGCTAGCACGCCTAGGGCAGAGGCACAGATCCCTGTCCTGATCTGGGCCGCTGGTATGCAAGTGAAAAACAAATGGGACTGCTGCCTCTGTGCCAGGTCCGTTACCTGAGTTTCGTTGGTCTTTCTTTTTTTGAGACAGGGCCTCACTATGTAGTTGAGACTGACCTGGATCTCGCTATGTATCCCAGGCTGGTCTCACAGCGATCCTCCTGCCTCAGCCTCCCGAGGGCTGGGATTATAGGCGTGAGCCACCATGCCTGGCTTTTTAAAAATTCTGTACCGGGGATCAAACTTGGGTCCTTGCTCTTGCAAGGCAGGTAGCAGAATCACTGAGCTAAATCCCCAACCCCTCATTTGTTTCCTTTCTACTTCCACATATCTGACATGTGGGCCTGACGGCCTGGGGATTTGACCCAGGGCCTTTGGAGTGGGGTTGGTTGACATCATAGTCAAGAATAGATGAGTCTGATGTGGAGCTGGTTGAGGTAGCTTCACACTCAGGAGGCTGAGGCAGGAAAATCTCTACTAGTTTAAGGCCAGCCTGGGATACATAATAAAGGGTGGGAGACCCAAAATAGATTCTAAGGTGGAAATTCAAGGACAAGTTTCATCTTTTAAGGAAGACCATAATAAAGTATATGCCGTCTTTTGATTCTTTAATTGGAACCTAAATCTTGCAGTTTATTTACTGTTTCTAGTGATGTTTCCTTTTAGGCATTTGAGGTATCACTAGGCTGATATCTCAGAAAGCCAAAACAGGAAAGAGAAGTCTTCAGAATAATGAGCTTCCAAGGGCCGTAGTGCCCCCCCCTTTTGAGGGGATGGGGACAGATGATACTTTAGGGACAGTATATATTATGGTAAATGAAACTCTAGTGCTTTATGCTTTGCTGTAAAGGTCCACAGTAACTTGTTCATATTATTTGGAAATCCAAAAAGCTCAACAAAACCCTTACAGCTTCCTTGATGTGATCTATACTTGATGGGGAGAAAAACCGACCTGAATTGGTGCTGAGACTTTGTACCTGATCGCATTTAATGGTAGTATTTCCAGACGACTTCAGAAGTACTGGACTACAGGGTGCTGACTCATTCTTTTGGGGAGTGTTACATAACGTACACATGCAAATGTGTTAGCTTACAGATGCTCTGCACACACGTGTGTTATGCCACAGCCCTGCAACCTGACAAATCTTGACGTTGTCAAGATGTTGTCTCGTAGGTTTCCCTAGAATTAATGTACGAGAAAACCCCGCCTATTGGAAATGCAATCTCTATGCATGGCAGTTTGCACTAGGGCAAGCCAGGATGCTGAGATTTTCTGAGGAGCCGTGGCAGTAGTCGCAATCCTTTGGAAGAGTCTAAAACAGTGCCCTTGGGACTTTCACAGCCCGCTGGAGCTGTGTGCTGTGCAGAACTAGAGCTCCGTACCTAGGTAGACTTCCTGTGCAGACGGCTGGGCCCCACCATTAGCTTCAGGGCAAGTCCTCAGTCAACCATCTGAATTTTGAGATAGTTCATCAGTGTCTGTAAACACTGAAAGTTGCTCATATAATCTTTTTTTTTAAGCTACTTTTTAAAGTACATGTATGATATAACATGGGAGCATTGTGAAAATACTTTTTTTCTGGGGGTTGATCACGGCCTCAGCATCCGCTGTCTGAAACACCCCAGCTCTCTAACACTGGATGTATCTTGACAGGCATTTTAGCAGCAGTATCTCAGATGAATGCATGGGCCCCTAATTGTGGAAATGGTTTGCTTTTTGTTTGTTTGTTTCTTTGTTTGTTTTGGTTTTTTGAGACAGGGTCTCTATGTAGTTGAAGTTGACCTGGAACTCACTGTATAGCCCAGGCTGGTCTCTGGTATCGAACTCACAGCCATCCTCCTGCCTCAGCCTCCCGAGTGCAGGGATTACAGGTGTGCGCCGCCACACCCAGCTGTGGAAATAGTTTTGAAGGCCTTTTCAAAAGTTTTTAAAGGATTTTATGCTGGAATAAGGTTTTTCCAGTGGGCAAATTTTATATTTTAGCTATGATGCTAATTTTAATTGATATAGTAACCAATTGAACATTTTTAAAACCTTTCAATTCAGACAGACTTATACTAGTGGATCTGCTATTGCCTTTACCAGTGGATCTCGTTATGATTTCATTAAGTTCACCATAATTATACCCCTCGATTTGAGTTTGCATTCTGGGTGAAGAGGATGGAAAGGTCCTAGAAAAGTGATGGCAGCCTGTTAGAGATGAGTCCTCAAGTGGCACCCCAAACCCCACTTAGTGTTTATCACAAAGTGTCAACACTGCAGTTAAACCCGAGGCATGGAGTAAAGCACTGATCTTATGGGGTTTGCCTTCATCTTGGCCAGGCACACGCTTATAACCCCAGCACTTGGGTGACTGAGGCAGGAAGATCACTGAGTTTGAGGCCAGTCTGGGCTACATAGGGAGATGGCTATCTCAAATAAAACAAAACACCTAGAATACTGGTTTTTAGCCTGGAAAAAACAATTCATGTATTAATATCTTTTGTCTTGACAAACAATCTGTGTGCTATAGGTTTGCCACCTATAGCCTAGAGAGTCCCTGTGGTGAATTAAAAATTGAGGTGGGTGAATTTGGCAGGTCTGCTATTCCAGGTTCGCCTAAAACATACCGTCTGACTCACACTTCATGTTTTTGCCAGTTAACTTTTTCTTTAGTACCAGGGATGGAACTTGGCACCTTGAGCTTGCGAGGCAGGCAGCGGAACCACTGAGCTAAATTGCCAGCCCCTCCAGTTAACTTTTAATATCTAAAGTCTTCTAGCAAAGCTTTATTCACAGTGCTTTAAAACAAATGTCAACATCAGCCTTCCTTTTGGTAGCTGTAGAACTATAGATGGGGTGTTTCTGCTAACATTAAGAGAATTGCAAGATTCCAGGAGTCTGCAGGCTGCTTTTTAGACCTTCAGCAAGATGGGAAACACTTAGGCCAGCCCAGATGCACCCACTCAGCCTTCACATTGTGAAAAATAGCGGGCTTCCAAGTGACATTTCACCTGAGCTTGTCAGTGCAAAGGTTTAGAAAGCCTGTGTCCTAAGATGCTTGGATTCTTTTGCAGAGTTTATTTCTTATGGGATTAACTTTTAGCTTTTCACAGTAGCTGATGGTGGAGCTTTGCATTTACACAGGGATCACATGTATCTCAAAGTTGCAGGCTCTTTTAAGAATAAAGTATTGGGGGGCAGGCGTGGTGGCGCGAGCTTGTCAGTGCAAAGGTTTAGAAAGCCTGTGTCCTAAGATGCTTGGATTCTTTTGCAGAGTTTATTTCTTATGGGATTAACTTTTAGCTTTTCACAGTAGCTGATGGTGGAGCTTTGCATTTACACAGGGATCACATGTATCTCAAAGTTGCAGGCTCTTTTAAGAATAAAGTATTGGGGGGCAGGCGTGGTGGCGCATGCTGTGAGTTTGAGACCAGCCTGGGCTACATAGTGAGTTCCAGGTCAGTCTCAACTACATAGTGAGACCCTGTCTCAAAAAACCAAAAAAAAAAAGAAAGTATCTTGTCTCTTTTAAGAATAAAGTATTGGGGGGCAGGCGTGGTGGCGCATGCTGTGAGTTTGAGACCAGCCTGGGCTACATAGTGAGTTCCAGGTCAGTCTCAACTACATAGTGAGACCCTGTCTCAAAAAACCAAAAAAAAAAAGAAGAAGTATCTTGGGGCTGGCAATTTTTAGCTCAGTGGATCCACTGCCTGCCTTGCAAGCACAAGGACCTGAGTTTGATCCCCATTCCAAAAAAAGGAATGAAGTGTGAACCCTCTTCTCCAGCACACAGGATTTCATTGTCAACTCCTCTTAAGGTTAAGACTGCTGGGGTCTGGCTGGGCTGGTGCTTGGTGGTGGAGTGACCCTGGCTTGCTCCTCCGATATTAGAGTTGGGACGCTCTTGTCCATTGACGGAACTTTCCGAGATGAAGGCAAACCCCATAAGATGAGTGCTTTACTAATACTGGCTCTGTCTGTTGGAGATATGGTCTCGCTATGTCATTCAGGATGTCCTTGAGCTCACTATGCAGCCCAGGTTGTCCTTGAACTAACTTCCTACCTCAGCCTCCTAAATACTGGGATTATAGGCCTACACCACCACACCCAGCTAATACTAGCTTTAGTCAAGTATTTTATTGTAGTTCTCAGTGTGATCAAGGAAACCAGATAGCATTACGCTTTAACATCTATTTCATTGGCTTCAGATGTGTCTTCATCCTACACCAG